TTAAAAAGATTAAACGGTTCTAAAAAAGCAAAAGCACCCTGAATAGGACATAAAAAATGGCTGTGGTTCACTTCCGTAACAAAGTTGGGAAAGTGGGAAAAGCATCACCCCATGCAGCATACATTGCTCGATTAGGTGAGTATGAAAAGCGACTTCAAAAAGAGAAGCTAGAAGCTACAGGTTTTGGCAATATGCCGAAATGGGCTGAGAATGATCCCATCGAATTTTGGCGTTCAGCCGATCTTTTTGAACGAAAAAATGGCAGTACCTATCGCGAATTTGAAATTGCTTTACCCAGAGAATTGGACGAAAAGCAAAGACTGGCATTGGTTGAAAGTTGGATTAAACAAGAGATTGGCGATAAATACGCATATCAATATGCAATCCATACCCCGAAAGCCCTTGATGACTTAGATCAACCGCATGTGCATTTGATGTTTAATGAACGCGTACGTGATGATCTCGAACGAGATCCACAACAATATTTTAAACGTTACAATGCCAAGTATCCTGAACGTGGCGGATTAAAAAAAGACAATACAGGTAAAGATCCACAAACAAGGCGAGAAGAATTAAAGGCACTCCGTGGACGATGGGAAAACATCGTCAATCACCATCTTGAACAGGCTGGGGTTGATACACGTATTAGCATGAAAAGCCTCAAAGCACAGGGTATTGATCGAGAGCCTGAACCGAAATTACTTCCGAGCCAATCTAACGAACTGAAGAAAGAACTTGCTCAACAAAAAGCATTTGATTAAAAAATGGAACAAGGGCTTCAACATGTTGAAAGGCAAGTACCACAGTTTGCTCAGGCACAAGAACAGTATGATCTGATGATTGAACGGTGGATGCAGCATGTTGAGCATGAGAACGCTCGTAAAAAACGAGAAGAACGGTTAGAGAATGAAAGAAAGAGAGCACGTGAAAATCAATATCAACAGCAGATCGAGCAAGAGCAAGCGAAGCGATTAGAACAACAAGAACAGGCACAGATAGCGCGTGAGCTATTGGCAAAAGAAAAAGGGGAAGAATA